CTCCCAAGTAACTGGGGCCACAGGTGTGTGCCACCACACGTGGCTAATATTTTTTACTTTTTGTAGAGCCAGGGTCTCCCCATGTTGCTCAGGCTGGTCTCGAACTCCTGAGTGCAAGTGATTCCTCCTGCATCAGCTTCCCAAAGTGCTCAGATTACATGAGCCGCCACGATTTCACTTTCTAAAATCATTTGAATCCATCAACTTCTCCCTAACTGTACCACCACTACTATTATCTATGGTGTAGATGTCCACAATAGCCTCCTTACCATTTCTACCCTCGCCCCCTCTAATAGTCTTCACTCTGCAGCCAAAATAATCCTTTAAAATGCAAATCTGGTCACATCATTCTCTGTCCTGAAAGTCTTCAGTGATTTCAAGGAACAAGAAGGATGATGTATAAAATACTTATAAGGCCTATAAGTTTCCATGCATTTGGGCCCCTGTGACCTCTCCAGTCCCAGCCCCTCTTTACTGCATGGTTTATCCTGGTTCCACATTCCAGGCCCACAGACTTTCCCTTCCTCTGACACATCTCAGGTCTTTGGACCCCCATCTACAATGATTATCCCCACCAGTTTTGTCTGATTAACTCCTACCAAGCCTTTGCAAATACAGCCACCTAAAGTATGCTACCCACTTCATTCTTTCTTTCTTTTTTCTTTTTTTTGAGATGGAGTTTTGCTCTTGTTGCCCAGGCTGGAGTGCAATGGCGTGATCTTGGCTCATTGCAACCTCTGCCTCCCGGGTTCAAGCGATCCTCCTGCCTCAGCCTCCTGAGTAGCTGGGATTACAGGCATGTACCACCATGCTCGGCTAATTTGGGATTTTTAGTAGAGATGGGGTTTCCCTATGTTGGTCAGGCTGGTCTTGAACTCCTGACCTCACGTGATCCACCTGCCTCAACCTCCCAAAGTACTGGGATTACAGGCGTGGGCCACTGTGCCCGGCCCATTATTTCTCTCATAACAACACCATGTTTTTCTTTCAGTGGAACTGCAATTAGTAATGACATTTGTCTGTGCATTTGTTTTACTGTCCCCTTCCCCAAACAGATAGTGAACCCATGAGGAAAGGAACCACCGGTCTTTTGTTCATCTGAATCCCACTGGCTGGCAGGATGCTCGGCCCTGTGCCCCTTGTTTCCCCGGACACTGTTCACTCACTTACCTTCCCTGTGTGTCCTTTCAGGCTTAAGATGTTCTCTAGGTTCGTGGTGGTGTAAATGTGAATCACATTTCCATTGACTGCAGCAAACAGGTGACCTCCGTTGCTAAAGGAACACTAGGGAAAGACAGCAAAAGAGCAAGCAAGCAGGAAGGGAGCAGTCTGATTAGAAGCTACAGTCAAGAGTCGCTTTTCCTCACGAGTTCAGGCTGAGACTATGTGTGAGGGGTGGGAGTCGGGGTAAGGTACAAATGAGACTGAGGGGTGGCTGACAATTTCAGACACTTTCGCTATTCCTGTAACTCATAGTGGCCAGATGCTGGCGCTGCCAGGCCCACAAATCATGAAGCCGTTTGGACTACAAGCAATCATTTTGCCTGTAGAAGCACATTTCAGAGCTGGGGAAGTAATTCCTGAAATCATTGCCTTGTTTCCGCAAGTCATCTCGGGGAAAGTTACTGAGCTCTTTACTGCCTCCCACCATTCATGCTTAGTTTGCCCTGGCTCCTCCCAATCTCCAACCTCACCTTCCTAGTTGTGACTCTGATTCTGAAATTACTTTTCTTTTTAAATATTTGTTAATGCTCCACAGTTACAGATAGGACTCATCATGGGGGATCTCACAAGGTTTTAGGTTCAGTGAAATATTCTGGCAGACATAAGAAATGGGGATGGGCCGGGCACGGTGGCTCAAGCCTGTAATCCCAGCACTTTGGGAGGCCGAGGCGGGTGGATCACGAGGTCAAGAGATCGAGACCATCCTGGTCAACATGGTGAAACCCCGTCTCTACTAAAAATACAAAAAATTAGCTGGGCATGGTGGCGCGTGCCTGTAATCCCAGCTACTCAGGAGGCTGAGGCAGGAGAATTGCCTGAACCCAGGAGGCGGAGGTTGCGGTGAGCCGAGATCGTGCTAGGGGATCCAGAGAGGTAAAAAATCCACTGGGGACAAAGTCCAGTTTCTTAGAAAGCCACAGCTGAAAAATCAGGAACCATATACTCAGTAAGGCTGCTGGGAAAAGAACTGGATTTACCCCTCCCTGTCTTTTTAAGCCACTATAGTTCTCCAAGACAGATTTTGGTCCCACCTCCACAGATCATGTTAGTTCCTGATTTTTCAGCTGTGGCTTTCTAAGAAACTGGACTTTGTCCCCAGTGGATTTTTTACCTCTCTGGATCCCCTAACAGAGTATTCTTTGAAAGAACGTATATCATCAATGAGTAGATTCATGAGGCGTAGTTTGTCAGCAAACCCTACTACAATAAAGTGTCCAGATGGATGAAGGCTGATGGAATATGCCTCTTCTTGGTATTCCTTATATAGTTCCAGAGTGCTGTGAAAAAGATCAATTAGTGAATTATAAGCCTAGCTCACTAAATCCCTCCAGTCATCCACTGTATCTGATATATATTGTTATCAGAGTATTTGAAATACACTACTGTTTGCAATTATTGGTTCCTCTCTTTTCTAGATTTTGGTTATTAGGGGATGATGTCCAGCATGGAGTATGGTAGATAGGGAGACTGGTCAAGGTGTTGTCTAGCGATGCTGAAGACAGAGCTCTGTGTGTGTAGATTCCAAAATTCATGAATATTGTCCAAGTGTTTTTTCCCCAGAAGCCCCAGAAGTTGCACATAAGAACAAAGGAAACAGTGGGGGTTGGGGGTCTATCTAGGGTTGGAGATTCCCGGGGAAGCTGTGCCAGAAGGCAAAATCAGAGGGAGCTGGGGGTGGTTGGGATAGTGATGTCCTCAGAGAAAGAAAAGGAAGGAATGGTCTGGGGAGCTCCATGAAGCAAAGTGCAGTTCCTGTGGGAAACAAGGGGATAGGAGAGCTGGAGGGACACAGGAGTTTATGAAAGAAGGTGAGAGACTGGGGTGTTATCTTCATGTCTCCAGTGTCTGGCATGTGGTAAGCATTAAATAAACCACAAAGTAGTTTTCCAGCCCATGCAAGAGTGAGAAACAGGTAGGCTGAGTTGATTTTTAAAAAATCCTTTCCAACTGAAAGCTTTTAAGTAATTAAATTTTGGAACACTATAATTAAAATAATTCACATAAACAAATTAACATCTGGAATCTTGCATATGAAAGAGGCGAGCCTCTCATTCCTTACTTTGTTTCATAATTCCAAATGCGGACGGATCGATCCAGAGAACAGGTGGCTATGAGGGGTTTTCGGATGCAGGTAGCTAGACCGGTGATGGATGCTGAGTGTAATGGATACATCAAATACTCAAAGTGAGCAGCCTCCCCCTAGAGAAGGCATACAGAACAAGATCCGCAGAGTGAGCAACGTCAGCTCTAATTGGTTCCCATAAACATTTATTAGACTGGCTGCATGGGAATCAGGCTGTGGCTAAACTGTGTGAATATTACGCATATTTTCCTGAGCCAATATTATTTTTAACATTATTTTAATGGCAGTAAAATACTTTCTTCTATGGATATCTTAGAATTTAATTTAACCCTTCCTCTATCGTAGGAACATTTAAGTGGCTTCCAATTTTTGTTATTATAGGAATAATACTAGACTAAATATCCTTGCACAGGTATTTGTGTCTCTCTCTGATTGTTTCCTTAGCATACATTTCTAGGAGTGGAAAACTGGGAAAAATTGTATGAATGATTTTCAAGGATCTGGATAAGTAATGCCAAGTTTCTCCCTGGAGAGACTGTACTAATTATCACCAGTAGCAAATGAGAGTTGGATGGATGATTTTAAATTGAAATGCATCCTACTGCACTGGTTATGTAGGTTACAGATATCTGTCTTCAGAGGCATTGTTTTTGGAACACCTGAATGAGAAGTGACAGTTGGGAAATTTAATGAGATGTACATATTTAGGTCTGTTCACAAGCCAAGATAAAGGCTAAGATGGAATTTTTTTTCAAATCCTGGCCCTCTGCCACTTACAAATTTATCTGCATCCACTCAGTCCTACCCTAGTGTCTCCCATCCAAATACTAACCAGGCCCAACCCCGCTTAGCTTCTGAGATCAGACAAGATCAGGTGCATTCAGGGTGGGATGGCTGTAGACCTCACTATCTCAAAGAAAGAGATGCTATCCTGGATGGGGGGCAGGCACAGGTTACTGTTATTCTTCTCCATCTGTCACCCTTTCTTTCTCCAGTATCTTCAACCTGCCTGTCTCTATGAGCACATTCCTATGAGCTTTTATACACTCAGATCTCTCTAGTCTTAAAAACAAAAGGAACGCTCTCTCTTACCCCTCTGCCTGAGGAGTCACGTAATGATGGGGAATCACACAAGCAGACTTACTGGTTTCATTGCAAATGCATGACCACAAACCTCCAGTGGGCATTTAACCCTGCCTGGTAACTCTACCATATTTTTCAATAAGTTCACACTCTAAACATCCAAGATAAGTATTTCATACTATTTATTCTCTCTTTTCAAACGTTCCAACCTTTTTCTTCCAATCCTAAATCTCATCTGATGACATTATCTCTTATTTCCTTGATTTCTGTGTCTTTGTTTTCTTTATTTTGCATCTCAGAAGCAGACTTGTGTAGATTCATCATAAATTCATATAAGACAAATTTTATTTTATTTCACTCCTTTCTTTCTCAATTTTCACTTCTGTCCCTCCCTATTCACTTCTGTTGATGCCATAAGTAGGCATCAACAAATGGATTTCATGTATGTCACTGACTATATACATGTGTTTTATATTTCTATAAATGACATTGTGCTTCAGATCTCATTCTGTACTTTTTTACTTTCTTCTCAACACTATGTTTTTAAGGAATTGTCTATGTTGCAGTATGTATAATTTACTGCTTCTAACTGGTGTTTTATATTCTACAGTACACATCCAGCTACTTTACTTCTCCATTACCACTAGGGATGAACATGTGGATTATCTTCAACTCTCCATCTTCAACAAACACTATGGTGAATATCTTTGTCCATGTTCTTTAACGGCTCTGTAGGATCAGACTCCTGGTATGTATCCAGTGCAGACTACTGGATGACAAGGTACATGCATTCTCTATTTGACCAAGAACTTTCGGATTCCTTGCTAGAATGGCTGTGTCAGTTTATACTCCCATTATCACCATGCTAGGATTATCATTCTCCCCCATCCTCAGACATCTCTGGTGATAACTGGATTTTTAATTTTTGACAATATAATCATGAAATTTCTTGTAAAGAAGCATCTCAGAATTGTTTTAATTTGCATTTTTCTGTTCATAGGCAACAAAATTCCCTATGACAGCACCCAAAGTCTTGAAATTAGCCATTCCAAGTGTGTTTAAAAAAACTAAAGGAAACCGTATATAAAGCAGTAAAGATAGAAATGATGTGCATCAAATAGAGAAGCATAAAAGGATCTCATCAATATAGGGATAGAACTATAAGAGAATAGAAATTCTGGAGTTAAAAAGTACAACTGAAATGAAAAATCCACTAGAGGTGCTCAAGAGTAGATCTGAACTGGCAGAAGAATTAGTGAACTTTATAGATCAATAAAGATTAAGCAATTTGAAGAACAGAGAGGAAAAAGAATTAAAAATTTACAGAGCCTCAGAAAAATGTGAGACACCATTAAGCACACCAACTAATTCAAAATGGATCTTATATACAGAAAATCCTAAGGAATTCACTAAAAAACTAATAAAATTTGGATATTTCTCTCCTCCAAATCTCATGTTGAAATGTAATCCCCAGTGTTGAAGGTGGGACCTGGTGGAAGGTGCATGGATCATTGGGGCATATCATTCATGAATGGCTTAGTGACATCCCCTGGGTGATGAGTGAGTTCATGAGAGATCTGGTTATTTAACAGTGTGGAACCTCTCATCTCCCTCTCTTGCTCCTGCTCTTGCCATGTGATACTCCTACTCCCCCTTCATCTTCCACCATGATTGTAAGCTTCCTGAACCTTTACCAGAAGCAGATGCCAGCACCACGCTTCCTGTACACCCTGCAGAAGCATGAGCCAATTAAACCTCTTTTCTTTATAAATTACTCAGTCTCAGGTATTTCTTTATAGCAATGCCAAAATAACCTAATACAAAAACTACTGAAACTAATAAGTGAATTCGGCAAGGTTGCAGGAGACAAGATCAGTACGCAAAAATTGATTATATTTCTATATATCTGGAATGGACAATCCAAAAATGAAATTCAGAAAATAATTCAATTTTACAATAACATCAAAGAGAAGAAAATTTTTCATAATATATTTAACAAAAGAAGTGCAGAAGTTATACTCTGAAAACTATAAAACATTCTTGAAACAAATTAAAGACTATCTAAATAAATGGAAAATATCTCATGCTCTAGAATTGGAAGGTTTAATATTGTTAAGATGGCAACAGTCCCCAAACTGATCTATAAATTTGGTGCAGTCCCTATGAGGATCCCAGATGGTTTCTTGTACAAATTGCAAAGCTGACTGTAAAATCCATATGGAATTGTAAGGGACACAAACTATCCAAAACAATCTTGAAAAAGGATAAAGTTGCAAGAGTCACAATTCCCAATTTTAAAACTTGCTACAAAACAGCAGTAATCAAGACAGTGTGGTACTGGTGTAAAGATAGACAGATAGATCAACGGAACGGAATTGGGAGTCCTGAAACAAACCCATGTATCAACTGATTTCCAACAAGATGCCAAGACTACTCAATGGAGGAAGACTCGTTTTTTCAACAAATGATGCTGTGACAACTGGATATCTACATGCAAAAGAATAGAGTTGGACCCCTATACCATGCCATATACACAAATGAATTCAAAATGGATTAAAGACCTAAATGTAAGAGCTAGCACTATGAAACTCTTAGAAGAAATATAGAGGTAAATCTTCATGGCCTCAGCGAGGGCACTGGCTTCTTAAATATAACACCAAAAGCACAACCAACAAAAAGAAAAATAGAAAAATTAGATTTCGTCAAAATTGAAAACTGTTCATCAAAGGACAATATCAAGAAAGTGAAAAGACAACCCACAGAATGGGAGATAGTATTTGCAAGTCACGTATCTGATAAAGGACTTATATCTAGAATATATAAACAACTGTTACAACTCAATAATAAAAAGACATATGACTCAATTTTTAAAATGGGCGAAAAAATCTGAATAGACATTGCTTCAAAGAAGAATTACAAATGATCAAATCCACATGAAAAGATGTTCATCATGAATCACCAGGTAAATGCAAATCAAAACCACAATGAAATACCACTTCTTACCCACTAAGATGGCTACAATAAAAAAGATAATAACAAGTTTTGGCAAGGATAGAGAGAAATCAGAATGCGCATATACTGCTTATGGAAATATAAAATGGTCCGGCCACTTTGGAAAACAGTATAGCAGTTCCGCAAATAGCCGAACATGAAGTTACCGTATGACTCAGCAGTTCCACGTCTAGGAAGAGAAATGAAAACACGTCCACATAAAAACTAGTTGCATTATTCATAAAAGCCAAAAGGCAGAAACAACCCAAATGTGCAAATTGGGTGAATAAAATATAATATATCCATATAATTAAATATTATTTGGCCATAAAAAAGGAATGAAGTACTGAAACATACAACATGAACTCTGAAAACATTATGCTGGCCAGGCGTGGTGGCTCACACCTGTAATCCCCACACTTTGGGGGGACAAGGCAGGTGGATTGCCTGAGCTCAGGGCAACATGGCAAAACCCTGTCTCTACTAAAAATACAAAAACTAGCTGGGTGTGGCGGCGTGCACCTGTAGCCCTACTACTTGGGAGGCTGAGGGAGGAAGACTGCTTGAGCCCAGGAGGTCAAAGCTGGAGTGAGCCATGATTGCACCACTGTACTCCCACCTGGGTGACAGAGAGAGACCCTGTTTCAGAACAACAAAACCCATTACGCTAAGTCAAAGAAGCCAGTCATAAAAGTCCACAAATTTTATGATCCTGTTTGTATAAAATGTCCAGAATAGGCAAATCTATAGAGACATGAAGTAGGTAAGTGGTTGCCTAGGGCTGGGATGGAGAGGGGTGATAACCAGGAAGATGGAGGAATAATAATAGTTAAAGGGTTTGGGCTGTTTTTTTTGAGGTGATACAAATGTTCCAAGGTTGACTATGGTAATGGTTGCATAACACTTTGAATATACTAAAAACCACCGAATTGTATACTTTGAATAGGCAATTTGTATGTGAATTATAACTCAATTAAGCTGTCATTTAAAAAGCACCATTACTGAGACAGATATGTTAAAATCTTCTACTGTGATTGTAGATGGTCTGTTTTCCTTATTGTTCTGTCCAGTTTTGCTTTATATATTTTGAATCCATGGTATGAGGTACATGCAGACTTAAGATTGTAGTATCTTCTTGGTTCTGAGCCATTTTAAGTACAATATGATCTCTGTCTTTAACAGTGCTTTTTTATTGTAATGTCTGCAGTGTATTTATATCGTTTCTTTGTTATTCTAAAACAATAAAAAGGAAAAAGAAACATATTTATATATACGTATTTGTGTACATGAGCAAAGAGAACAGTAGATTAAATGCCTTAAAATTCAATTTCTGGGTAAAAGGATATGTGGGATTTAAATCTGATAGACAATGCCTCTGTGTCCTCCAAAGTTACGGTAGCAATCTCAGTCCCACTCAGTCTATCTGCATGCTTCTGTGTGGACATCTTAAAATTAGAATTTTGTTTTGCTCTGTATGAAGAGGGTGCATGAGTTTATGCTAACTTATTTGGATTAAAATTTGTCCACATGGTGACCAGAACCCCAGCTAAGCACACAGAACCTGGTCTGGAAGGACCACTGCTGGGAAGACTCACCTTGCTGATCTCTGTCAGGGACATGGTGATGCTGTAGAGTTGGTTCTTACTGGTGCTGGCAACCAGAGTTTCCTCTGAGGGGCTGAAGCACAGGCAGAGAATGTCCTGTTTGTCAGACTGACTTGGGTCATTGCTCTGTGGGTCCACAGGAAGCTGCTCAAGATGCAAAACAGCTATCAGTAATGTCCCCATGGTGTCAGTGTGTCCTCAGGCTTTCAGAGTTTTCTTGGATAACTTTAGCATACAGACTCTCAGACCAGGCTGCTTCCTGGGATCCCCCTATTGTTCGTTTGTTTTTTGAGAGAGGGGCTAGCTCTGTCACCCAGGCTGGAATACAGTGGCATGATATTGGCTCAATTCAACTTCCACCTGCCAGGTTCAAGCCATCCTCTCACCTCAGACTCCCAAGTAACTGGGACTGTAGGTGCACACCTCCAGGCCCTGCTAATTTTTTTTTTTTTTTTTTTTTGAGACAGACTCCTGCTCTGTCACCCAGGCTGGAGTGCTGTGTACACCAACCTCTTGGCTCACTGCAACCTCCACCTCCATGGTTTAAGCAATTCTAGCTGGGATTACAGACTCGTGCCACCATGCCTGGCTAAGTGCGTGCGTGTGTGCGTGCGTGCGTGCGTGTGTGTGTGTATGTGTGTGTATCTTGAGATGGCATCTCACTCTGTTGCCCAGGCTAGAGTGCAGTGGCATGATCTTGGCTCACTGCGACCTCCACCTCCAGGGTTCAAGCTATTCTCCTACCTGAGCTGGGACTACAGGCATGTGCCACCATGCACAGCTAATTTTTGTATTTTTAGTAGAGATGGGGTTTTGCCATGTTGGCCAGGTTGGTCTCAAACTCCTGAACTCATAATTTTTGTATTTTATTTTATTTTTTTTTGTAGAGATGGGGTTTTGCCATGTTGCCCAGGCTAGTCTAAAACTCCTGGGTTCAAGAGATACACCTGCCTTCGCCTCCCAAAGTGCTGGTATTAGAGGCATAAGCCAACATGACTGGTCAACTTTCCTATTTTAAACTCCAGTTCTGTTCACCTCACCCAAAACCTCTTTCGGGACAGATATCTCAAGTCATCATTTCGCCGTTTCTGCTCAGCAATCCCATCCCATCCCTCCCCATCAGATGTCTTCTCAGAGGACGGCTGCTGGGGAACAAATGCCAGCAGGACCCCCATTTTGCTTTTTCTTCCCTCCTTACCCTGATTTCTCTGCTCTCACGGTAAACATCCTTTTCCTCCATCTTCTCAAACAGCAGAACCCTCCCTGGCCCAGCAGAACAGGCAAATCCCTTTGAATAGGCTGCAATGGCAAACACCTGGGGCATGGACATCTGGCTGTGGCTACTGGCCGCCACCATCTGTTCATAGGAAGGGAGTGGGGAACTGACTGGCGGAAATTCAATCAGGCTGGAAACAAAGAAACAGCATACAAAATATACAGAGACAATCTCAAGGAGATGAATTCTGCTGGGGAGCAGAAAGAAGGGTGTCATTGGGTGTGCGAGAAACCACCCAATGATCCCCTTTTCCACAGCCAAATGCTACCTTTTGGCCTGGGAACTGTACATAAACTGCACATGGCCAAGCCCAGAAGCAAGAGAGTGCTTGGGGCGTGTGGAGTAGATGGAGGTGAGAGCTGTAGGGGAAGACAGCCGCAGGTATGCTTGGGCCAAGCCAAGGAATCTGGGCTTCGTTCTGGGAGGCCTGGACCCCAGGGCTGAAGGACTGTGAACACAGCTCCGAGAAGGTTATGGGGACTCTTTAGGAGGTTCCTACATAATTACAACAACAACAAAAGGATATGCCATTGGCATGGGCGGGGAATGGTAGTGAAAATGGGAGGACTGAAGGTTACTGAGGAAGAAGAATCTACAGGATGCCGTTGGGGTTGAGGGCCCAGGCTCTGGCATCAGAGAGATCTGGGTTTGACTCCTGAGCCCACCACTTATCTGCACAGTGATCTTGGGTAGCCCACTTACCTCTGTGATCCTCAGTTTCCTTGTCTACAAAATGGGCATGGTCATAGTATGAAATAAGGTAAGAATCTATAAAGTATATAAAGCAGTATCTGGTGCATGCAATGGTACATGCCAATACACAGGGGATATGATTGTTACTGGTTGTCACAGAGGTAACATGGCATCTCTATTACAGTGGTCATAGCCACTGTAATAGAAACCACACTTTACTCGTATCCTCTGTCAGGTTTCCTTGCACTTGTTGGTCTGTTGCCTCCTGCTGAACTGTAAGTTCCTTGAGGACTTGTGTCCCCAGCATTTAGCAAGAGATGCCTTTTGTACACTGCAAGGGCTTGGTGAACATGAATCAATTCATTAAATTAGCCACTGGAAAATATATTTTCTAAAAACGATGGTTTTGAAGACTAGTCATACTATAATGCTTACATAATGAGGTTAGGTATTAAAAAAATAAAAAGAATTATATCTAGCCTATGGTTATAACTGTTAAATTCTGTGCTTGAATACAGATGAAAACAAGAAAGGAAGAGGGAAAATGGGCATTGTTGACTTTTACGGTAGAGGGGTTTCTAGAGAATGTTGTCTTCTGCATAATACTGTTAGTAGAATGAACGTGGGAGCACCAGCCCAGGGAGCACCATTACCTCTCTGATTCCTGGATGATATCCAGGCTCTTTGAGCCAAGGGCGGGTTCTTTGACCATGATGCTGGTCTCCCAACGCTGATCTCCAGATTCAAAGAGGAAGAGTTTGCCTGTGTCGGTGCCAACGATAATCTTGTCATCGGCCACCCAGGTGTGCGCTAGATAGTTATGGAGTTCTCCCCTCTGAAAATTGGTTTGCTTCAGGGTTCCCTCCGTAAAACGGAGAAGCTTAAACATCCCATTTCCAGTCACACACACCTGAGTGTTATCCTGGGGACTGAAGCTCACCTGTAAAGTGTGAGAAAATTGAAGAAAAAGATTTATGAAACGAATCCAGATGGAATTATTTTTCATTTTACACATTAATATTTATTTCAGGCTGCTCAGAATAGCTCTTGAACATCATAAAATCATGTAATTTTATGCTGCATTTGATAAGGGCACACATCTATAATCCGTTATATTTGTAGGGATATGAGTCAAACTAGGAAATCTATAAAGGCCAAAGAGCAGAAGGGGCAGCTTTTGACAATAGCCGCACCCAGTGCCAACAAAATGGAATAAAGCTCAGCTGGAAACAGAAAAAATGAGGGTCTGTCATGTTTACACAGCCCTGTCCAGGAGGAAAGAAAGCACGTCAGGGGATGCTATGTGGTCCACCACCAACTGAATATCCTTCCACCACAGCTCTTATCCCAATGTACACGTGCTCCTCTACTTACAATGGGATCGTGTCCTGATAAACCCATCATAAGCTGAAACAGTGTAAGTTGAAACTGGGCAAAGCCATGTGGCCACACAGCACCACACTGTACAGTATCTTGGTTGTTACCCTCCTGACACAGTGGCTGACTGGGGCTGTGTCTGCGGCTGCTGCCCAGCACCATGAAAGCGTATTGCTCGGTCTCTTTCTCCTGAGTGCATACCACTCTTGTACCATTGTAAAGACAAAAATTTTAAGGTGAACCATAGTAAGTTGGGGACTACCTGCATAGTAATAGGCAGTCAACCTGCTGTACTGGCTAGAGAGTGAGGAACTTGAGGGGCTGTGACTTTCTCGTCTCTGTTTTCCCAGTGGTGATTCATCATGGGCACCCAATAAATGGCTGCTGAATCTACTTATTCAGAGCAGGAGGTGTTTCATCAGGTCTCACTGTGGCCTGGTTGAAATACCCTTCTGGTTCTATCTGCCTTTGGTCTGATTCTGGAATGATCACCAAGCAGCTTTCTGATTACTATTATAATTTCACCTCTCAACTTCTCTATTACTAGGAAGGGAATACATTGGATAAATGATGTAAGCGTTCTGGTTGCGATATGCTGGCTTTCACACGTGTCTTGTGAGATGAATGAGCCTATGTCAGAGACACAGATTAACTAGAATCTCTAAACATGAACAGAACTGAGTCGTTGAACTTGTGGAACTGAGTGCTACATCCTAGACTAGGGTGACTGATCCAAGATCAAACCTCCTTGGGACCCCCTGCCTAAGCCATCAATCAGGTTCCTGAGGAATCTTCTTCTTTTTGCCCTCAAGCCACAATGGAAGGTTCTGCTCCTTACGTAACTGCAACTTCATCAACAGCTTCCTAAAGATCTGCCACTTTACATCACATTTCTGAAATCTTCCTACTGCCCAGCAATGCTGCTGGAAAGAGGCTAGAACCAGGGAGAGAAAGCAGGTTTTGTTTTGATTTTTTTTTTTTTTTGAGACAAAATCTCACTCTGTCATGCAGGCTGGAATGCAGTGGCGTAATCTCGGCTCACTCCAACCTCTGCCTTCTGGGTTCAAGTGATTCTTCTGCTTCAGCCTTCCGAGTAGCTGGGACTACAGGTGCCCGCCACCATGCCTGGCTAATTTTTTTTTTTTTTTGGTCTTTTTAGTAGAGATGAGGTTTCACTGTGTTAGCCAGGATGGTCTCGATCTCCTGACCTCATGATCTGCCTGCCTCGGCCTCCCAAAGTGCTGGGTTTACAGATGTGAGCCACCCTGCCCGGCCAGCATCTACTTCTGGGCTAAACCAGTGACCAGAATGCAGTTCTGGGCCAGAGTAAAGAAAAGAGGAGCTGGAGTCGGCGAACTCCTAGCTCTGCTACTCACTACCTCTGTGATCTTGAGTGAGTTACTTAACCTCTTGGAGCCTCAGTTCTCTCATCTGTAAAATGGGGATAATGATTGTGCATACCTTGCATGGTTGCTGTAAGATTAAATTTTAAAGTGCATGGAGGAAATTAGAACTGTGGTACATAGAAAGCATTCAATAAAAAGTAGTTCTATTTTTTAAATAATTTTTTTTTTTTTTTTTTTTTTTTTTGAGACGGAGTTTCACTCACGTTACCCAGGCTGGAGTGCAATGGCGCGATCTCGGCTCACCGCAACCTCCGCCTCCTGGGTTCAGGCAATTCTCCTGCCTCAGCCTGCTGAGTAGCTGGGATGACAGGCACACACCACCATGCCCAGCTAATTTTTTTTTTTTTTTGTATTTTTAGTAGAGACGGGGTTTCACCATGTTGACCAGGATGGTCTCGATCTCTTGACCTCGTGATCCACCCGCCTTGGCCTCCCAAAGTGCTGGGATTACAGGCTTGAGCCACTGCGCCCAGCCTAAATAATTTTCAAGATACTTGTCGAGCTACTAGGTACCTGGTAGACAGGGTTGTTCTGAGTGTCCGTTCTAATAATGGCCATTACTTTCTGTTTTTCCCACAGCCAGTAGACAAGATTTGACTCTGGAGGGGATGTCTGGGTCAACAGGTATTTGGAGTCTGGAGAAAAAGCCATGCTAATAAATTTCTGAACTTGGAAGTCAAAATTATTAAGAACTCTGCGCTTCCGGCAAGGGATGGATGACAGTTCATAAATGGTAATGACAGGTTTTTCCTGCACAGTCTCAGAGATAGCGAGGTACCGCCGATTGGGGCTGATGGACAAGGCCAACATGGCCTGACTCCTGTCTGAGCCTGCAAACAGAGGAAAAAGGAAATGAGGGGAGGTCACACTTTCACCAGGATTTAACAGGAAAAAGGCACAGTAGTGTGTAGCGGGGAGATCCCATAAGCGCCGAGGCAGGAGCAAAAAGCCTCGGCCTATTTCCATATATATAATGAAGAAGAAAGTAACTAGAAATATAACCATAGCAATTATTAGTTATTTATACGTGATCTTAGTTATTCACAGGTGATCTTAATTCTTTTACTAATGCCTCTCAGGTCGGAAGTGTGAACCTGGTGTGACATTGTGAAATGAATGACACTAAGGCAAGATGCTCTAAGCCCTCTGTCACGCCCGCATAAGGGCTGCTGGAGGGCGCCTTGGCTGTGCGGCAGTGGCAGCACTGGGAAAGCGCCCGCTGTTTAGCCAGCTAGGGAAGACGACGTCCAAAATAGCTGAGATGTCTCCTTCCCTGGAGGAGTTAGGAGAAAACCCTGCTTCTCCAAGCTCTTGTGGCAAGGCCTGACGGCTGTCAGGTGGGCCCGCAGACATCCGGGGGCTTAACTGTCTCTAGTGATGCTGTGCTTCAGTGGTCACGTTCCATGTCTACTCGCATGTTCTGCTTCTGCACCTGGTTCCTTTTTTCTTAGAAAAGATAATCATAGTAATACAAATTTTAATGTTTTTGTTCTTTCTTGGTAAGTATGGAAAAAGTGCTGATGCATCATGCTCCTTACTTCACTTCGGGTGCCAGAAATTCCTGAGCCCCTACCTGAATGACACGTGATGTACCCCCAGTCTCCGACCACCAAGACCTTGCCCTACCTACCCCCAGCTTTGCAACTCAATAAAAGTGAGAGTGTCCCAGTATTCGGGACCACTGCTGGTCTCCGCGATTTGGGTAGCAGTGGACCCCTGGGCCCAAACTCTCTTTTCTCGATTTCTGTGTCTTGTCTTTTATTTCTACAATTTCTCGTTTCTGCACCAGCCGGGAGCGGCTCACAGAATCCTGTAGGGCTGGACCCTCCATCTGGTGCCCAACGTGGCAGTGGACTCTACAGTAGTGGGCACTGTAGTGGACAGTGGTGGACACAAAGAAGAAAGGTGGCCTTGGTATAGCTGTGTTTGGGCATTATGAAAATGACTAGGGGCCAGGTGCAGTGGCTCATGCCTGTAATCAGCACTTTGGGAGGCCAAGGTGGGTGGATCACTTGAGATGGGGAGTTTGAGACCATCCTGGCTAACATGGTGAAACTCTGTCTCTACTAAAAATTAAAAAATTAGCTGGGTGTGGTAGCATGTGCCTGTAATCCCAGCTACTCAGGAGGGTGAGGCAGGAGAATCGCTTGAACCTGGAAGCGTGGAGGTTGCAGTGAGCTGAGATCGTGCCACTGCTCTTAAGCCTGGGAGACAGAGCAAGACTCTGTCTCAAAAAGAAAATGACTAGGGCAGGTGCCTCTGAGGATGAGGTGGGAGAAGAAGTCAGGGAAACATTCCTGAAGGAGGGCAGGGGGCAAGGTGAGGTGGGGGCTGGGTGGAAGGTGGCAGGAAGAGCTTGAGCCAAGGGGTGGATGTGACGAAGGGTACAGAGAGGTGAGAGAACGGTGAGAGAATGGCAGGCAATGGGTGTTGCTAGAGCATTTGAGACAAGGTGACCAAAGATGGGCCTAAAGGGGTGGAATACGGTCAGATCATAGAGGCCTTTATTCCCTGAGTGGATAGCTTCATCACTCCACCTCTACTCCAGAGGCTGGGATGCCAACTACTAGATTCCTCAGCCTCCCTTGCAGCTAGGTGACGTGTGTGACATTCTGGCCATGAGATGGATGCAGAGGTCTTCTGGAGTGGCTTTATGATAAAGCTGGTGCTTTCTTGAAAACCAGACAGATGCATTCTATCCCCTTTTCCCTGAAATCTAGAGGTGATGTCTGGAGAGAGCACTCATCTTGCAACCATGAATAAGAATGAAAATGAAAGCTGTGATCCTCAGGCAAAGATTAAAGTGCAAATACTTTATTTGGGAAATGCAATCAGGGACACATTATGATTTTTATGGGCTCTAGGTACTTCTGATTTCATGGCTTCCTTCCTCATTAAAAAATGTTTAAAAATATATTTAGATATTATTTTAAAATATATACAGTAATATACTTTATGACTGTATTGGTATAAAGAGGAATATAACCCAGGCTGGATTCACTATTACATATTCATGTTTTTTTCTGATTTTCAAAAAATAGTAAAACATTTTCTTAGGTCCTCGAAAGTATTGTGGGTCCTGGGCACTGTGTCTAGTGGATAAGTGGACAGTGGATGCAGGCCCAGGGTAGGGAGCATGAGTGAGGCAGGGGAAGACGAGCTAGAGAGTGCTGTGACGGGTCCCCACGTGATGGGTCCCCCTGCTGCTGCTTCACAACATGCCAAGGAGAGATGCAGCAAGTTGCTCAGCAGGCGTGTGTGCCCACCCATGGGAATTCTCCGGAAGGGATGCAGAGTAGCTGTGGCTCAGAGAAGATCCCAGGTTTTAGGTCACTGAGAGCCTTGCACAAGAGGTTGGACTTCACCTGGGAGGTCACTGAAAAATTTTAGGAAGGGTGACATGTGGGTTGTAGATCCCTCTGGCAGCTGTCTGGAATACAATCTTGGAGGGAAGGAAACCGGTCAGTAGATTATTTCAAAACTGAAAGGGGATGGCAGAAAGATGCAACGAGAAGGCAGCAGGGGCAACAGGAATGGGGAGGAATGGGGAGGAGGGGAGATTAGAGAGATGCTAAGAGGTAACACCAGTAGGACTCAGTGACTGCCTGGGTGAGGGGGAGAAATGAGGAGTGAATGACATTTAGGATGCTGGTTTAGGTGACTGAGGGTACTGGGACATCTGTGAGGGAATATAGGCTCAGGAAGTTAGGAGTGATGGCGGAAAGTATGTCCATCATCTTTTGCTTAAAATAGCCCATCCAAGTATTTGATATTTGTTTATGAAATTTTTATACTTCCATCTTTAGTCCATCTAGGGTTTATGATGGTAAAAGATATGAAGCATGAAGTGAGGATCTAAATTGATTTCCATTTCCCAAATACCTAACTGGTTGTCCCAGGACTGACGAGTAATGCCATCTTTATGATATCAAAGTTACCAGGCCGGGCATGGTAGCTCACAACTGTAATCCCAGCACTTTGGGAGGCCGAGGTGGGTGGATCACTTGAGGTCAGAAGTTCAAGACTAGCCTGGCCAACATGGTGAAACACTCTCTCTACTAAAAATACAAAAATTAGGCAAGTGTGGTGGCAGGTGCCTGTAATCCCAGCTACTTGGGAGCCTGAGGCAGGAGAATCATTTGAACCTGGAGGTGGAGGTTGCAGTGAACTCAGATTGCACCACTGCACTCCAGCCTGGGTAACAGAGTGAGACTCCATCTCAAAAAAAAAAAAAAAAAAATAATGAAATTAAATTATATATATATTAATATAATTTTGGGGTTTTTGGGATATTTACAGACTGCAGGCACACACCAGCATACCCAGCCAACGTTTTCAGTCTTTTGTAGGTATGGGGTCTTACTATGTTGCCCTGCTTGTGTCAAACTCCTGGGCTCAAGTGATCTTGACTCCCAAATTGTTGGGATTACAGGTATGAGCCACCATGCCCGGCAGGACCACATTGTTTTTGTAATCATATCTTTATCATGTGCTTGAATATCTAATAAGGTAGTGTCTTAAGGAAAGAGAGGGAGAAGAAAGGAAAAGATAAATCAATCTCATATATATTGTGTGTGAGGTACACGTGGAGCAGTTGGGTATGGAGGTCCAGCAGCTGGATGTGGTTCTAAAGCTAGGGGAGGGTTGAAGCTGAAAATACAGAATTGAGGTTAAAGAGTATAATGAAAAGTTAAAACTAGGAGTGTGTAAAGCCTAGAGGAGGCAAAGGCACACTGCTCACTCCCTCCTATTGTGCTTTTGTGCCAGGCTCCTACCTGGCATAGCATTTGTCCTGCTCATTTACACAGTCCTACTTGTTTGAATACACACCAGCCTCCACTACAATACTGAGAGCTCCTGGAGGGCGGAGGCCATGGCTATCTTGTTCATTCATTCATTCATTCAATCACCAATGTCTGGTATATAGTATGTTCTTGATACATGCTGACTGATTTTAGAGTTTATAAAATGCTTTTGCACTGTTTCGACCCAGCTGATGCCTCTCTTCTCCTCCTTGAAATATTTTTACTTCTCACATAGATATCCTGTGATTTTCTGGCCACTCCTCCAAAGCCTCTTTTGCTGATTCTTCCTCACTTCCCCAGCACTAAATGCAGGAGTGCTCAGAGCTCATTCTTTCAGCTTCTTCTCTTTTATAAATATATTCACGCTCTAGGGCAGGGGTCCCCAACCCCTGAGCCACTGATGGCACCTGGCCACACAGCAGGAGGTGAGCAAGCATTACTGCCCGAGCTCAGATCAGTGGCAGCATTAGATTCTCATAGCAGCACAAACCCGAACGTGAACTGTGCATGTGAGGGATCTAGGTTGTATGCTCTCTGAGGGAATCTAATGCCTGATGATCTGAGGTGGAACAGTTTCATCCTGACACCATTCCCTATGCCCTCTCCATCCCGTCCATGGAAAAACTGTCTTTCATAAAACCTACCCCTGGTGCCATAAAGGTTGGGAACCACTGTCCTAGGGAAGTCTCATCCACTCTAACGGCTTTAAATTTCACCTCTAGGCTGATGACCCTCAAATTCCTATTACTAGCCTGGACTTCCCTTCCCTTAAATCCAGACCTGAAATCAACCTGTTTACCCTGCTTCTCCATTTAAATATCTAGCAGGCACCTCAATCTTAAGAGGTCCAAAACCAACCTTCT